GCCCGCCCGCGGAGCCCCCCGAGCCGCCGCGGGCACCATGGACAGTATCCTGGAGCCCTTCCCCGCCGAGCGGCTCTTCCCCGCCGCCGGCGCCGGCTTCCTCGACCTCGGCGACTTCAGCGAGGCGGATTTCCTCAGCAATGTGGTACGCGGCGCCCGCGGAGGGACGGGCCGCGCGGGGGGCACTCGGCGCGTCCCGGCTGCGGCGGCGGCACCCGCGGGGGCCTGAGCGCGGTGCCAGCCCCGCGCACCCCACGGCACCGGGCATCGCGCAGCGCCCCGCGGCGCGCGCCGGAGGCGCCTGCTCAGGATTCCTTCTGTTTCTCCTAAAATGCCCGTTTTTTTGAGCCTCGTGCCTCGGGGAGAGGCGCGCGGTGCCGGGGGAGTGCACAGGGCGCCGCGGCTCCGCTCGCGCAGCGCGGCAGGCGCGGGCGGGCCGTGGCGGGACACCTTTCCGCTCCGCGCTGCTTCCCATGTGCTTGAAACTGCTTTGCAGCGTGGAATTTGGGAGATGAAGCATCTCCCACCTGGTAGCGCTGGGATGCTTTACTTTGGAGAGAAGGGTGAGGGGGGAAAGTGACTTGAGAGAAAAATGTATTGCCCCAAGAAACCAAAGGGACATTGGCATTAGGGAAACTGCCCAGCCTCCTTGTGGAGTCACGCGAGCCCTGAGCCCCGCCGCTCCAGAACCCTGCCCTTAGGCTCCTTGCTGTCGGGAACCCTGCCCTTAGGCTCCTTGCTGTCCCGCTGAGCAACAGGGGCTGTGCTTTTGGTGGAAGCTTGCGCTGCCAACCCCGCTGCCCCTCTGCCAGGGAGGGTGCTGCCTTGAAGAAAGGGAAGGGCTGCACGTCATGGGTGGGTTGGGATGAGGGTGGGGGGATCCTTCCATACTCGGCAAGGAGGCACTGCCTGCACTCAGGGCTTCCCCAGCCTCTGAGCAGCTTCAGCCACAGGACGTGCCTTCCACAGCCCATGCTTCCAGGCAGAGGGATTGTAGCCCGGACTTGGCATTCCCTTGCCAGAGTATTGGCACCTGCTGGGCTCCCACTGCAGCACCAGAAGCCTTTCTGAGCACCAACCATGCAGTGGGAGCAGGGGTGATGCCACCACCAAGACACAGGAGCGGGAGGCAGGGAGAAGGGAGCTCTAACCATTAAGTACCTGTATAAATCCACTTCTGCTTTCCTAAGCAGAAGCCTGAAGCCTTTTATGCTGCCTGACTTGTGGAGGAGAGAGTAGAGAAGCAAGATTTGCATATATGTTACGTACACCTCACTTGGTGCATGGAGACCCACTGGGTCTGGAAGAGAGATTATCAGCAGCCAACGGTGCCTCTCAGAAATCTCAGTGACTCCTAGTTTCCAAGCGGCTGCTGTGCCTCAGGGATTGACGCCAGCTGGGGACCATGGGAGCAGCCGACTCTGGCCTCGCTCTCGGAGCAGTCAGTGGCAAGTCACCCTGGGACCGTGCTTGCTTGCGCCGCGAGGGCTTGTTTGCTCACGTCTGCTGTTACGAGCCTTGTGCTTTCCTTAATGCCATCTACATCGAACGTGAATGAAGCTCTGCTTTTTGCCAGGACCATTTATCCCCTTACCTTAAAGAAAACAATACAGAAGGACATCGGTCCGTTAGTATAGGTGCAATGTAGGCTGCAATAAGGAGGCAAGGAACTCCTTAAAAACATACCAGCTACCTGCTTATAGTTTGAATACATCCTCTGTGTGAGCAGACTATGTAAAAAAGAAGCTTTTGTGTAAGAGTGCCATCTGGTGCCACCTGCCAGGACAGTGTGTTTAAAGTACGCGCTGACCATGAAGACACTGGCTCTTTCCTACCTCATTTAAATGGCCTTTCTGCTTGCAGTACTGCTTAATGAAGTCGCCTCGTCCACTTTCATTAGGTTGCACTGACTCTGGCTCTGCTTATCTTACCAGAAGAAAAAAAAAAGCTTTTTTTTTTCCCTCCTCCCCAACTTCCAGCACCATAAACTTCCCTGGAAAATGAGACTCAAGCTAATACCCTTTCTTCCTGTTTTGATAAACAGAGGAGAATCTGTAGTTATTGCTTAACTATCAAATCTGTTGATTATATGAGACAGAACATAATATATTATCACTTTCCTTGTTCTAGTTCTGCATGATAAAATGGTGGAAAGGAATATGTTACACTTTATTACTGAATTCAGCAATTCTAATGGGATCTTGAAATCTTTTAAGAAGATCTTCACAGACACACAGAACTGTGCAGAGCATCATGATGTACAATAGTGCTTAGAGTTGCCAGTGCCTTTGCTTCAAAGATGGGCAAACTTTTCCAGACATTGTTCAGCAACTTTTGTTTTTTAGAACAGGAATTTTGGCCACTATGAAACTTTTTCTTAGGGAGATTTCTTCTGTTCAGAATTGAAACAGAAAGAAAGAAAGGATGTAAGAACCTTCATATTCCTGAAGGTTCATTCCCAAGGCCTCCTGATGAGGCCATGCTCATTTGGGATGAGAATTATATTATTCTGAATTGCTCTCTTTCCTTGAATGCCAGCACTCTTATCTAATCATCACGTCCTTTAAAAATGATTCTCTATATTCATTTGATGATGGGACAAAGTGAAACAATGGCAGCACATCTGTAGATATATCCTTGAAGAGGTCTGTGTGGTTGATTTTTTTTTTTTTGATAGTGGTTTGAATAAGTCTGGGGCCTGCCATTCAGGCTAGAGATGTTGATAAATTAGAGTGAGTCCAAGGGAGAATCATTAAGGGAGAGTGAGTCAGGGAGAGTATACGGACTTTGTGATGCTTGTGAGAGGCTCATGGGCCTGGGCCAAGGTTTAGTGTGACCTAAGAGGCTGCCAGCACTTGCAAAAAAAGTTATTGAGACAATAGAGACACTCTCTTTGTGTAAGCACATGGTAGGAGAGTGAGACTAGAAGAGGGAAGGCTTAGACTGGGTGCAAGGAAACAATTTTCCCTGTGCAAGCAAGTAAGAATGAAGCAGGCTACCCAGAGAGGCTGTAGGAACTCCCTCCCTCGAGGTTTCCAAGACTTGACTGGATAAAGCTTTGGGCAACCTGGTCTGCATTTAGTGTTGGCTCTGCTTGGAGCAGGAGTTTGGACGAGAGACCTCCCAAGGCCCCACCCACACCGCCTGAGTCTATGGTTATATGATGTTTTGTTTTGAAAAACTTAACAAGACCAATGTCTACTTGGTATTTGGAGGAGTTCTTCAAGGGATGCAAAATACTTCTTAGTTCACTTCGCTTCTTCTAACAAAACTTGCATACAGTGACTGCTAGTACCTGTAACAGTCTCCTTTTACTCAGGAAGCTACTGCCTGCTATCAAATCTAGACAATTTTGCTTATCTTTCTGCCTTTCTCTTGCCAGAAAGAGCTTATCCTAAATAAGGCTAACCCTTCATGAAATGTTTACTTATCAATTCCACCTGTCTATCTCCTGTTCAGTCCAAACAACCCTTCCATATTTCTAGTTTTGCTTACATATTGCTAGGACCCATCACTTCATTTACAGTCTTTTATAGATGCAATCAGAGAGCTCTTTCATTCTCCCTCAGCTCTTATCAGCATTGCAAAACTCTTCAAAATGCTTGTGTTTTGAGTCAGATTTACTACAATGCTCCATTTGGTTTATGACACTCCAGTGTCAGAATGAAACCAGGATAAACCAGTACAACAGGATGCATGTGTTTCTTTTTAACACTGTACCCCACTGGGTTGAGGTTTTTCTATGTTTCTGTATTCCAAAGTATGAAAAATATCTTTAAAAGTGGCTTTGGAGGTTGCATGTTCACGTAAACACAGCTTTGGATTCGAGTCTAAGAACGCGCTGCAATGTGCTCTCTTTCACCGTGTTATCGTAAGCCGAGGCAACGTGACCAGTGGTGTTTCCTGAAGCCTACTCGCCTTCAGAATGGCAGATTCCTACAGCAGAATGGCAAAAGAACTTGCTTGTCATTGCATTGCTTGTCATTCCTTGGGCGTATATTGAGTTTAGTGCCTATTGCCTGCGCTTTCCACTAATATTGTCATGGGCCACTGACATCAGGAAGGCATCTGGGTTGTATGTAGTTGTGCTAAAAGCAGTGCTGGCAGAACTCGCAGAGGGAGCCCCCCCGAAGGTAAATAGAAGGTATTTCCTACGGCTGACTGTCACTCTTGCAAAAGGCCTGTGCACACTTCTATTCCTCTTATGCCTACTAATCAGACATAAAGAACGCTCAAGTGGTGCTTAGGTCTTTTGCTGCCCTTTGAGTTTCATGCTGAGTAAGTTTCTTCCCAGCACCTCTCCACATAGTGAAGATGAAGATCTCAGGCACATTTTCTCATCCATTTCTCGTTCCTTCCAGCTGCTACAGAAGAAAGCTCAGTTGTAATGGGAGGCAGACACCTGTTTCTGGGATTGACTGTAGTCTTGTGTGGGGATACATGCAGAAAATATCATCATTTTTTGTTCTACATACATAGTGAAGTTTGGTCAGTGAGACATCCCTGGCTACTCAGCCAAGTACTGTGCAAGGCAAGGCTTTTTTCTTTAAATTTTGTTTAGAACTTGCCAGAGCTTCCTGTGGGATCTGAACTACAGCTACATCGAGAACTGGGGCAGATATCAGATCTTGCCTGAAGAAAATAAATCTTAATAGTTTACAGATTTTTCTTATTTCACAAGTCTCTCTGGATCTATCCTATAGTTCTTTCACCTCATCTCCAAGTTGCTGCTTGACATCTTGTAGTTGGACTTAGACCTGCAGGATGAAAACCAACATAGTTGAACACAGTAGTTCATGGAGCTCTGAGCCTACATCATCATCACCACAGAGTCTTCACCAGGAAATGTCTTTCCATTTCAATTGGAAATGAAGAGAGAGAGAAATGTGAACTTCTTTTGGAAGTCTCCAGGCAAATACTCCTTTTAAAGCAACTAGGGATCATGTGTGTATCTCTCTATCCAGAAAGAAACTGAGAAACATTTGGAATACTCTACCTGAATAAAAATGTTCACCTGTTGGAAAACTGCCAGGACATGCTGGGAATCTGCTGCTCAAAACACTCATCTCAGCCAAAGTTGAATAACCCTTCAGCTATGCTGATAGGCCCAAGCTAAGAGAGAGTTTATAATTCAGAGCAGGAGCA